TCTCGGACCGAGACCGAGACCAAGACCAAGACCGAGACCGAGGAGACCGAGGAGACCGAGGAGACCGAGGAGACCAAGACCGAGGAGACCGAGACCGAGGAAACCGAGACCGAGGAGACCGAGACCGAGACCAAGACCGAGACCAAGACCGAGATCAAGAGCGAGACCAAGACCAAGACCGAGACCGAGGAGACCGAGACCGAAGAGACCGAGACCGAGACCAAGACCGAGACCAAGACCGAGACCGAGGAGACCGAGACCGAGACCGAGACCGAGACCGAGACCAAGACCTAGACCGAGACCAAGACCAAGACCGAGACCAAGACCGAGACCGAGGAGACCGAGACCGAAGAGACCGAGACCGAGACCAAAACCGAGACCAAGACCGAGACCAAGACCAAGGCCAAGACCAAGACCGAGGAGACCGAGACCGAAGAGACCGAGACCAAGACCGAGACCGAGAGCAAGAACGAGACCGAGGAGACCGAGACCGAGAAGACCGAGAAGACCGAGACCGAGACCGAGACCGAGACCAAGACCAAGACCAAGACCAAGACCAAGACCGAGACCAAGACCGAGACCGAGGAGACCAAGACCGAGACCGAGGAGACCGAGACCGAGACCAAGACCGAGACCAAGACAAAAGTAATTGCTAACGCAAATCAAATATAAAAGCAGACGCAAATGCGAATATGAATGCAAATGCAAGTGCAAAAGCAAATGCAAATGCAAATGCAAATGTGTATGACATGCAAATGCAAACACGAATGCGAAGACAAATGTTAATGTAAACGCAAACGCCAAGGCAAAAGTAAATGCAAACGTAGATGCAGATGTAAACGCAAACTGCAATGCAATTGCGGGTGTAAATGCAAACACAAATGCAAATGTAAGTGCAAAAGCATTTCTAAATTTAAATGCAAACGTAAATGCAAATGTAGACTCAGTTTCAAACATAGTGGAAAGGCAAATGTTAATTTAAATGCAATCTCAAACGCGAATGCAAATATATATGGAAATACATACGCAATTGCAAATGCAAGCGCATGTGCAACAGCTGACGTAATCACAAACGCGGACGTAAATGTTCCTGCAAACGCTGATGCAAATGAAGATGAAAACGACAATGCAATGTAAATGCAGACACAAACGCGGATGCGAGTGCAATCGCAAATGCAAATGTGAACGCAAATGCAAATGTGGATGGAAACGCAGTTGCAAACAGAATGCAAATGCCAATGCAAGTTCATAAGCAAACGCGAATGCCAATGCGATTGTGAATACAAAGGCAAACATAGATAAAGATCAGATCCAAACTAAAATTTGAATGCCGGAACAAATGCGAATATAAATGCTAGCACAATGCAAATGAAAATGCAAAAAAGAATGCAAATGGAAATCAAACGTAATTACAACTGCAAATGCCAATGTAAACGCGATCGCAAATGCAAATGCAAATGGGAATAAAAATGCAAACGCAAATTAAAATAAAAATGCAAACGTCTGCTTGATGAAAATGCAGATGCAAACACAAATGCAAAATGCAAATGTTAATGTAAATGCAAACGCAAATGCAAAAATAATTGCAAACGTGGAAGCAAGTGCAGATGTAAATGCATATATAAATGCGAAAGCAAATGCAAATGTAAATGCAAACACAAAGCAAATGTAAATGCAAATATACACGCAAATGTAAATCAAACGTGAAGGCAATTGCAAATGCCAATGCAAATACAAATGCAAACGCCCATGCTACAGCCAACGTAATTGCAAACTCAAATGTAAATGTGCTTGCGAGCGCGATTGCAAATGTGAATGCGGATATAAACGCAAATATGAATGCAAAAGCAAATGCCAAAGCAAATGCAAATGTAAATGCAAACACAAAGCAAATGTAAATGCAAATAAACACGCAAAAGTAAATCAAACCTGATAGCAATTGCAAATGCCAATGCAAATACAAATGCAAACGCCCATGCTACAGCCAACGTAATTGCAAACTCAAATGTAAATGTGCTTGCGAGCGCGATTGCAAATGTGAATGCGGATATAAACGCAAATATAAATGCAAATGTGAGTGTATATAAAAATAAAAACGCAAATGCATCTGCAAATTTAAACGCGAGGACAAACGCTGAAGTAAATGTAAATGCAAAAGCAAAATGCAAATACAGATACAAGTGCAACTGCAAATGTAAGTGCCAGCGCAAACGCATATGCAAACGCAAACGCGAATGCTAATATAAATGCAAAAGCAAATGTATATGTAAACACAAACGCAAAACCTAAAGGCAAATACAAGAGTAAATGCGAACGCAAGCGCAATTCTAAAAGCAACTCAAACGTAAACGCAAAACGCATATTCAACTGCAAATGTACATGTAAACGCGTAAGCAAATGTAAATGCAACTGCAAATGAAATCAAAACGCAAAACGCAAATGTAAATTCAAACGCGAATGCAAAGAAAAATGCAAAAACAAAAGCGATCATGTAAAAAACGCGAATGGAAATGCTAATGTAAATAAAATCGCAAATGCAAACACAAATGTCAATGCACATGCGAACGCAAACCTGAATGCAAACGTTAATGTAAATGTGAATACGAACGCGAATGCAGGTGCAAATACAAATGTAGATGCAAATGTAGAATCAAAAGTGACTGCAAATGTAAATGCAAATGCAAACGCAAACGCAAATGCTAATATAATTTCAAATGTTATAAATTTATCTTAAATGCAGATGCAAATGCCAATGTAAATTCAAGAGCAAATGCGAAAGTAATTGCTAATGCAAAGCAAACACAAAAGCACATGCAAATGCGAACATTAATGCATATTAAATAATGCAAGCGCATAAGCAAACGCAAATGCAAATGCAAATGTAGGTAAAATAGCAAATGCGATTTTAAATGCGATCGCAAATGTAAATATAAATACAAGGGCGAATGCAAAATTAACTGCAAACGCAAATGCTAATATAAATGCAAAACCAAATACAAATGCAAATGCAAATGTAAATGCAAACGCTAATGGATGCAAATGCAGATGTAAGTGCAACTGCAAATGTAAACGCAAACATAAATGCAAAACTAAAAGGCAAATACAAATGTACATACGAACGCAAGCGCAATTCTAAACGCAAACACAAACGTAAACGCAAAATGTAAATTCAACTGAAGATGCAAATGCAAATATAAATGCAAACGCAGAACGCAAATGCAAATTCAAACGCGAACGCGAAGATAAATGCAATTGTTAATGAAAACGCAAATGCAAATGCAAATGTAAATAAAATCGCAAATGAAAATACAAATGCAAACACAAATGTTAATGTACATGCAAACGCAAACGTTAATGTAAATGAAAATACGAACGCAAATGCATACGCAAATGTTAAAGCACACTTTTGTTCAAAATTCAGGTTCGATCAAAATTGACGTTCGTACAAAATTTACGTGCATATATGTATGCAAACGCAAGTGCGTAGGCAAATACAAATAAATATGTAAGTGAGAAAGCAAATGCGAATGTAACTACGAGCTCCAATGCAGATGCAAATGTAGACGCAAACTTGACTGCAAAAGTAAATGCATATGCGATTTTATTCATATTTACATTTTTCATTTGCATTTGCATTCGCTTTTTCATGCTTTTCATGCTTAACTGCTTTTGTTTTTGCATTTACCTTTGCATTCGCGTTTGAATTTGCACTGGCGTATTGCGTTTTGCATTTATTTGCATTCGCATTTACATTTGCTTAGGCTTTACATTTACATTTGCAGTTGCATTTGCACTTGGATTTGCGTTATGCATTTACATTTGCATACATTTCCATATTTGCATTTACATTTGCGTTTGCATTCACATTTACACCCGCGTTTGCATTGGCGTTTGCATTTGCATTTACATTGGCGTTTGCATTTGCATTTGCCTTTGTGTTTGTGTTTACATTTGCGCTTGCTCTTACATTTACTTTCGCGTTTGCGGCTACTTTTGCATATGCGTTTGCATTTACATTAACATTTGCCTTTGCATTTGTGTTTGCATCTGCATTTTCATTTATATTTACCTTTGTATGTGCATTTGCGTTTGCATTTGCATTTGCGATTGCATTTATATTCGCATCCGCGTTTGCGATCTATGCCTTTACTTTTGCACTTATATTTGCATTTGGGTCTGCATTTATAATCGCATTTGCATTTGCAATTAATTTTGCATTTGCCCTTGCATTTACATTTGCACTTGCTATCGCCTTTAAAATACATTTGGAATTAGGTTTGCATTCGCGTTTGCGTTTGCATTTGAATTAACATTCGCTTTTGCATTCTGTTTGCAACTGCGTTTTTATTCGCATTCACATTTGCATTTGCGTTTGCAAGCGCAACCGCGTTTGCGTTCCATTTACATTGCATTGGCGTTTTCATCTTAATTTGCATCCGCGTTTGCAGGCACATTTACATCTGTGTTTATAATTACGTTAGATGTTACGTGTTTGCACTTGCATCTGCATTTTTGTTTGCATTTCCACCCGCATTTGCACTGCAGTTTGCGTTTACATCTGCATCTGCATGTGCATTTTCATTTGCTCTTGCGTTTGTATTTACATCGACATTTGCCTTTGCATTCGTGTTTGCATTTGTATTTTTATCTACATTTGCATATGCATTTGCATCTTCTCTTATGTTCGCATTTGCATTAACGATTACTTTTGCATCCGCTCTTGAATTTACATCAGCATTTGCGTCTGCATTTGCATTTGCATACGCATTTGCATTTGCAATTGCATTTACATTCGCATCCGCGTTTGCAATCACGTATGCTTTTGCGTTTGTAGTTACGTTAGTTGTGGCCTTTGTTTTTGCACTTGCATTAGCACTTACATTTGCATTTGCATCTGCATTAATATTTGCATTTGGATTGGCAACTGATTTTGCAATTATAATACATTTGCATTTGCATTTACTTTTCATTTGCGTTTACACCTGCATCCGCGTTTGCGTACGTATTTACATTAACATTTGCATTGCATTTGCATAGAATTTGCGATTTCATCTACATTTGCATACGCGCTTGAGGGCACATTTACATCTGTGTTTATAATTAAGCCAGCTGTTGCATATACGCTTGCATTTGCGTTTGCAATTGTAATAGCATTCGCGTCTGTGTTTGCATGTAAATTGAAATGAGTTTACATATGCTTTTATATCTAGAAGTCGGTCTTACCTGCAGGTGCATTTGTGTTTGCATCCGCATTTGCATTGCAGTTTGCGTTTACATCTACATCTACCTTTGCATCTACATGGCTTGCGTTTATATCAATTCATATTGCGCATTTGCATCGCATTTGCGTTTGCAATTAATACTGCTTTCGCCGTTGCATTTACATTCCAATATGCGATTGCATTTAAAATACATTTGCATTTAGATTTGCATTGGCGTTTGCGTTTGTATTTAAATTGATGTTTGCCTTTGCATTCTGTTTGCAACTTCATTAGCGTTTGCCTTTGCATTTACATTTGCATTTGCGCTTGGACTCGCATCTGCGCTGGCATTTGCATTGCATTAGTTTGCGTTTGCATTTACTTTGCATTTGCTTTTTCATCTACATTTGCATTCGCGTTTGCAGGCTCATTTACATCTGTGTTTGTCATTACTTCAGCTGTTGCATATGCGTTTGCATTTGCATTATATTTGCATTTGTATGTTTATTTGCATCTACATTCGCAATTGCATTTGCGTTTACATTTAAATTAACATATGCTTTGCAATCCGTTTACAAATGAGTTTAGATATACATATGCATTTATGCTTAGAAATGCGCTTGCACATACATTTGCCTTTGCGTTTGCTTTCACAACCGCATTTACATTTCAGTTTGCATTTACATCTGCATCTACATTTGCATTCACATTTGCCCTTGCATTCGTGTCTGCATTTGCATCCTCATTTGCATTTGCGTTTGCGTTCACCTTCTCATTTACAATTGCATTTACATTCGCGTCCGCATTTGCAATCACAATTGCCTTTGCTTTTGTAGTTACTTTAGCATTTGCATTTGCATTCATGTTTGCATTGCATTTACGTTTGCATTTGCGTTAGCTATTACTTTTGCCACATCTTCAGAATTTACATCAGCATTTGCATTTAAAATACATTTTAGTTTTTACATTTGCATTTGCGTTTACTTTCACATTTGCATCCGCATTTGCGAGCAGATTTACATTTCCGTTTGTAATTACGTTAGCTGTTGCACAGGCCTATGCGTTTGCATTCACATCGGCATTTTCATCTGCAATCACATTCGATTTGCATTTGCTCAGACTTACAGTTGCATTTGCTTTAGCATTTACATTTGCATTTTGCATTTGCGTTTGCATTTACATTTGCATTTGCGCTGCTATTTAAATTTATGCTTGCATTCGCGTTTGCGTCTACATTTGGATTTGCGCTTGCGTTTGCTATTAAATTTGCATCCGCTTTTACATTTGTATTTGCACTTGCATTTGCATTTACTTTTGCATTTGTTATTGCATTCGCATTTACATTTGCATTTGCATTTGTATCCGCATTAGCATTTGCATTTACATTTGCAATCACGTTTGCATCTACATTTGCATTTCGCGTTTGAGATAAAGTTTACATATTCGCGTTTGCGATAGCATTTAATTTAACATTCGGCTTTTCTTTCTGTTTGCAACTGCCTTTTCATCTGCACTTGCTTTTGCACTCGCACCTGCCTTTGCTTTCGCATTTGCGTTTTTATCGACATTCGCATCCGCGTTTGCATGTACATTTACATCTGTGTTTGTAATTACGTCAGCTGTTGCGTATGCAAATGCATTTGCAATATCGTTTGCGTTTGCATTTGAATTAACATTCGCCTTTGGACTCTGTTTGCTACTGAGTTTACATACGCATTTTCGTTTGCATTGTGTTTGCATTTACATTTGCATTTGCTTTGGAATTTGCGCTTGCATCTACATTTGTACTTACATTTGTGCTTGCTTTTACATTTGCGTCAGCGTTCGCAATTACTTTTGCATTTACATTAACATTTACTTTGCATTTGTGTTTGCATCGGCATTCTCATCCACATTTGCTATTTGAATATGCATTTGCATTTGCGATTGCATTTACATTGGCATTTGATTTGAATTCATATTTGATTTGCATTTGTATGATAAATGCAATCGCATTTGCAAACGCATACGCAAATGCAAACATAAATGCAAGTGCAAGTACAAAAGCAAACGCATTTGCCAAAGCCAACGTAACTACAAAAGGCAAATGTTAATGTAAACGCAAAAGTAATTGCAAACGCGGAAACAAATGTAAAAACAAGCGCAAATGTAAATGCACACGAACGCCAAACCAAATGCGAATATAAATGCAACGCGAATGCAAATATAAGTGAAAGGGAGAATGCAATTGTAAACCCAAACGCAAAGGCAAATGTACATGCAAACGCAAGTGCAGATGTAAAAGCAAACGTGAATGCAAATATAAAAGCAAAAACAACTGCAATGTTGATGCAAACGCAAATGCAAATACAAATGCAAACACAAGTGTCAATGTACATGCGGACGCAAATACAAATGTAAATATAGAAACGCACGCAATTACAAATGTAAATGCAAAGTTTCGTTCAAAATTCACGTTCGATCAAAATTTATGTTTGTTCAAATTTTACGTGCAAAATTTGGTTCAAAATTTACGTTTTATCAAAATTTACGTTAGTTCAGAATAAAAAATTTACGTCGAATTATAAATGCAACGCAAGTGCAAAGACAAATAAGAATAAATATGTAAGTGAGAACGCAAAACCAAGTGTAAATACGAACGCAAACGCAAATGTAATAAACTAACGTAATTACACACGCGAATGTAAATGTAAACGCAAATACAGATGTAGATGAAAACGCAAATGCAAATGTAGATAAAAACGCAAATGCAAACACAATGCAAAAGCGAATGTTGATGTAAATACGGAGGCATACGCAAATGTAAAAGTGAATGTAGACCAGAATATAAATGCAAACGCAAATAAATATGTAAATACAAACGTAAATGCAAATGTAAATGTTGATGTAAATGTGAACGCAAACGCAGATGTGAATGCAAACGCAAACGCAAATATAAATGCAAATGCAATCGTAGATAAAAACGCAATTGCAAACAGTATGCAAAGGCAAATGTAAATTTAAATTCAAGGGCAAACGCGAATGCAAATGTATTTTAAATGCAATCGCAAATGCAAATCTAAAGGCAAGGACAAATGCAAAAGCGATTGCAAACGCGAATGCTGATATAAAAGCAAATGCAAACGCACCTGACGTGATTGCAAAATACAAATGCCAATGCAAAAGCAAATGCAAATGCAACTGTGGATGAAAATGCAAAAGCAAGCACAAATGTAAATGCAAATGCAAATGCAGATTTAAATGCGAACGCAAATGCTTATGTAAACGCAAGCGCAAATGCAAAATGTGATTGCAATCAAAAATGCAAATGACATTGCGAAAGCAAACGCAAATGCAAGTACAAGTGCTAACGCAAATTTTATTGTAATGTACGGAACTGCAAAAGTAATATGGCTGAAAACGCGTGTGCGAATTTCAGTGCAATTCAAACATGACTCCAAATGTAAAAGCAAACGCATTTATAGCTAACGTTATAACAATCGCAAATGAAAATGTCGTTTCAAGCGGAAATACAAATGCAAATGCAAATGCTAATTTAATTGCAAACGTGAATGCAAACGCAAATGTAGATGCAAATGTAAATGAAAAGGCAAATGCAAATAAAAATGCAAGCGCAAATCTTAAAGTAAATGCAATCGTAAATGCAAATGTAGGCAAATATAAGCGCAAATGTAAATGCAAACGCAAGTGCTATAGTAAACACGGATCAAATGTGATTGCAATCGCAAATGCCAATGCAAATGCAAATGCAAATGCAATAGCAAACGCAAATGCAAAAGCATAAGCAAATGTAAATGCAACCGGAAAAGCAGATGAAAATGCACACGCAAATGCAAATAAAAATTCAAACGCAAGTGCAAATGTAAACGCAAACGCAATTGCAAATACTAATGCATTTGCAACTGTTATTGTCAATACAAACGCAAGTGCAAATGTGGGTGTAAGAGCAATTGTTAAGTAACTGCAAATGAAAAGCTGACGTAATAACCTGCAATGCACATATGATTGCAAACGTAAATTCAAACGAAAGTGCATATGTAAAGGCAAACGCAAATGCAAACATAAATACATTAGCAAATGCAAATGTAAATGCATGCGCAAATGCAAATGCAAATGCAAATGTAAATGAGAACGCAAATGCAAAAATAAATGCAAAAGCAAGTGTTGTTTTATTTGCAGACTGCAAATGTAAATGCAAATGCTGATGAAAATGCAAATGCCTTTGCAAATGCATGTGTAAATACGAATGCAATCACAAACGCGAATACAAATGGAATTGCAAATGTAAATGCAAGCGTAAATGTAAATGCAAATGTGGGTGTAGGAGCAAATAACAAGTGCAATGCACACATGATTGCAAACGTAAATTCAAACGAAAGGGCATATGTAAAGGCAAACGCAAATGCAAACATAAGTACAATATTAAATGCAAATGAAAATAAGAAAGCAAATGCAAATCAAATTTAGATGCAAACGTGACCGCAAATATAAATTCAAATCCAAATACAAATATAAATGCAAATGTAATTACGAATGCGAACGCAAACGCGAATGCAAATGTAATTGCAAATGTAATAAATGTATTTCAAACACAAATACAAATGCTGACATAAATTCAAATACGAATGCAAAAGTAATTGCTTACGCAAATGCAAACATAAGCAGACGCAAATGCGAATATGAATGAAAATGCAAGTGCAAAAGCAAACGCATTTGCAACAGCTGACGTAGCTACAAACGCAGAGGCAATTGTGATTGCAAATCCGAATGCGAATGTACATGCAATTGCAAATGCGAATGTAAACATGAAAGCAAACGAAAACGCAAATGTAGATGAAAATGCAAATGCTAACACGAATGCAAAGGCAAATGTTAATTCAAAAGCAAACGCAAACGCTAATGCGAATGTAGATACGAACACATATGCCATTGCAAATGCAAATGCAAATGCAAATGCAAATGCAAATGCAAATGCAAATGGCACATGCAATAGCTGATGTAAATACACAGACGAGAAACGTGCCAGCAAAACGCGGATGCAAATGTGGATAAAAACGCAAATGTTAGTGTAAATGCATGTGCAAATGCAGATAAAAACACAGTTACAAACAGAATGCAAAGACAAATGTTGACTTAAATGCAAACGCAAACGCAAAGGCAAATGTATTTTAAATGCGATTGCAAATGCAAATTTAAATGTAAGGGCGAATGCAAAATTGATAGCAAACGCAAATGCAAACATGAATGCAAACGCATTCGCTAAAGTCGCCGGTAACTTTTATGCAAATGCGTATGTGATTGCAACCACTGATGCAAATATAAATGCAATTGCAAATGCGGGCATATGTAAACAATATGCAAATGTAAATGTAAATATGAATGCAAATGCAAATCAAACCTGATTTTTAATCGCAAATGCCAATGTAAATGCCAATGCAAGCGCCTATGCA